TTTCACCAAAATATCAACATTTTGTATTCTCTCGCATCATTGACAGGTAGCAACTTTCATTTTTAATTTAGAAAGATATACTAAAAAGTCAAATAATTTAGCTGCAAATTGCTTAAAAAATCATCAAAATCAGTCCACTAGAACACAATATATGATACTTTAAAACACATGAAAATTTTAAGGTGCCCGTTTTTCGTGCGGGTGAGTGTATTTCAATCATTGTTGATTGCTCCGTCCATACGATAATTGCTGCGGAGTTATTAGAGTTTTTTTGTACTCTATTCTTTCGATTCAGAATCGAAGTTTAGTTTTATTTCTCTGATTATGTTTAGGTTTGCAGTATCGATCGTACGTATTCAATTCTATTTGCTCCGGTCTTATTATTAGTATACTTACTCATTTTTCTATATAAACAACATTGGTAAAAAGAAGGCTTACAAGTTGTTTGTTATTGAATCGTTTAATTAGGTTAGAGCCGAAAAGGTTATTGGGTCAGTTTAACCGTATGTATTGTATAGGATGAGTAAAAAATATATTGCATTTGATTTGTGAAAAACGCATAAATATATTTTGTGGAGTATCTAAAGAACTGTATATTTTCGAAACGTTTTTTTAATTTAAATACAGTTCATACCAAATAAACTTTTAGTCACGTCATAAAGTTTGACTGGTACAGTGTTGCCCACTTTATATATTTTCTGGAATATTAAAACCTACTTTATTAAACTGTAGTATTAATATCTCAATATATGTGTATAACAAGAAAAAAAATATTGATAATATTAAAGACGTGACAACACAGGCTGGATGAGGAAGGCTCGGTCGACTGTACCCAGAAGTAAACATGAAAAAAAAGGTTGTTTGTCCGCGTTGAGATGTAAATAGTGTAGTCTATATTTTATTTTAAGTCTATGATTACAACAATATTTATTTAAGCCAAAAACTCGTAATACAAAACTATAAAGTGTCAAAACGAATGACAATGTCAGGAAATAAATAAATAAATGCGGCAACTTGACATTTTTTACAGCAGAGCTACCACCTGAATCCCCAGTGCGAAATTTAAATTCCAGTTAGTCAGCACGGCGCGGCGCCGAATATGTCCATGGTTGGCAATAATGAATCGATTACGTAACTAAAAGTTTAATTGATATGAAATATAGAATTAGTCGCATCACCTGAAATAGACACCCTGTATATAGGTTTACATCTTGGTTTATTTATTATCGTAGGTATGCTACTGGTATAAAGAAAAGCGTGTCAAGACATTTTTAAAAAGCTGTTTTCCCGGTATTGGCACGTATTTAATAATTTTGCCATAGTTGTATTATTGAAATCAGAGAAATTGTTGTTGAAAAATGATGACAAATAGTCCTATTTACCAGAGTAACGGATGCCATTTTTTTCTCGTTTAGTACAATTTGCAGTGTTGGTGTTGTGATTTCACCATATTTAACTTTATCATCATAACCAATACAAATCGAAAATAATTCATTTAACACAAAATATGCACATTTACATATTTTGCAAACAAAATCTTTTTTTTTTGCAAATCAAAAGGTCAAATATTTATCTCACCAGATAATTTTATACAAAAATTGTATTAGACTTTTTTGAAGAGGCGTTAAAGTTGTACTGTCGTCTAGAATTTCGTTTTATTTGGAATAGACATCTAAAAGTTATTTGCAAAAATCTCCCTTCAAATTACTATAGTAAACGCCACGAATATTTGGGAGTGATTCATCGGTCGCTACCATGTGAACTTATCTGTTCAAGGTCACATTAAACTTAATTCCAGTGCCGTGGTGTTTCAAATCATATAATAATCAATATATAATCTGTTGTAATTTGTTGTTTTAACTGTCAAAGCCTTGTCAAAACATATATTTGGTAATAAATATAAAATGAAATGCCCCATTGGCCGCACTGCAAGCACACCAATGGACTGACGCACAAAAACGAATCAATCAAAGAAACGCGATATAGTATCGTCTTTGTCAATCACGCTAACATTTTAGAATAAGTAGTAGGAGCGCAGGCAGATGATTAGACCGGGCCTTTAAAAACCTACGTCTGCGGTAAAAATTTACGTTTTTAATGTAAAAATGATAGCGCGTGTGTCGATTCTAACTTCATCAAGCGATAAATCACTCCCAAACATTCGTGGCGTTTACTATATAAATTTATAATACCTACGGCCCAGAGAAAGTTACAATTAAAATACCAGCAAAAATATGATTTTGTCATTGTCAAATTCGATGTCACATTTTTTTTGTTAAACGCATTCCCATAGATAAATGCAACAAGTTTAGATTGGAACATAAAATAATTAACTAGAAAGAAGTGTCAACTCTGTGTTAAATCGTGGAAACACGATACGCCACCGAAAGCCTTCGTTGTCGTCTGGAGAACTAATTTTCCAATTGACAGGTTGACATGATAAGGACATGATGGCTTAATTTTCATTTCCGTTTCCGGTTATTCAATGGCGGGTCCTCTTTCAGTTCAAATGTATTTTGTATTTTTTCTTTTCATAAATAAAACCAAAAAATAATTTATTCACATATATTTATTTGAAGTATGGAACAACGTGACTAAATAAACATAAAAATATAGAGGATTGTATTGTTTCAATACCAATTAGTTAATTATATGTACTTTTAACGTAAATTAGTTAAGGTATAAGCATGACTTACAGTAATTTGTAAATAAACACACGTATTCGCAGACTTCAAGGACAGAAAACGGACACAGGGACATGAAAACGGGAGCCTTATACAAAAACCTGAAAACAGAAAAACAAATTTTTTTATACTAAAATTAACAATCTAAAAATATCAATAGGTATAAAATATAAATATACTGTTTAAAAAAGCGTCCATTATTCCCAAAGAGACCTGGCTTATAAATCAAAAAGAAGCAAAAAGAGACTTTTAGTCGGATAACATAATCAGATTATCAGTCCGATTTATTGCATTATTGACAATAAATCGCACATATTGGAGATAAATGATGTTGGCTATAGTTAAAAATGATCTTACCTTGCTGTAAATTGTTTCCATTTTCAAAAAAATCGCCGATCAAAGAGATTATAACACCATTTTCTTGCATCTAAAAAATGTAAAAACAGTGTTTATTTACTACCTATTTTTCATATACATGGGACATACCTACTACGGCAGAAACGTCATTTTCTCCAGGATTCTTCATGTAATATATATTTTATATACTTTATTACCTTTATAATTATAAATTTCAGCCGAAATATTAAATTGAACTTCCAAAACGAAACTAAACGGAATGAATTAAAATGGCGTCGAATATTTTCGACACAATTTTCGAATTTGTTCTAGAACAAATCTGAAGTTGTCTCTGAAACTGAAATCTGTCAATTCTAAACTGTGAAGTTAGACAATAGTTAGACAAAAACAATGCTGTCCTTGTCTAGGCGGCCATACTTGTCGTGAGGAGAATGACAGGAATGACACTAATGACTGTTTCCAATTTTCCTATTTCACTGTCACCCCCCTGGATTGGAAAGCCCGTAAAAATTTTAGGTCGCGAAATTATTTTGGGTCGCGACCGTTATACGCGATCTGGCGCTGCTATAGCGGTCGCTAAGAACAACGGCAAACAAAAACAGAAATAATTTTCTCTTGTCAAAGTCAGAATCTTCAAAAATCATAATAATCTTTCAAAATCTAAACCGCTCTCATTAAAGAAATTCCGAAAAGTGTTTATATAGCGTCCATTTTCAAAGTAATTATTGCTATCTTGTGAGTTTAATTCAAGTTTTATTTACTCCAACCGGTGATAATTGTGAAAAAGTGGCATTAAAAACTTAAAAAGCTGTGCTGTGAACTGTGAACTGCAAAAACCATCGTGGATCGTGGCATAACATCGATTTCCAATGTTTCATAGGTATTTCATACATGCGTCCTTATATAAAATAAAGTTTCTTGTATGCAACACACTGTATTTTATTTATAAAATATAACGAAAATAATAATAAATTTGAATAAACAATATTTGGCGATATAATTCCGGAAAAAACCGAACCGCTCCGAAATTTTCAAAAGTTTTGGGTCGCGACCGTTGCAAGAATAGCGCCAAATAGTGTTTACATTGTCCTTATGGGCACTTTCCAATCTAATGCGCATTCCTGTGGTTTGAAAAATTCTCTAAAATGGGACATGCATATCGACGCTTTGTCGAAAAAATTAAGCTCTGCCTGTTTTGCATTAAGATCTGTTTCTAAAGAGCTTAACTTGTCAGTGGCTAGAACTGTTTCTTATGCACTTTTTGAGTCGCACCTCAGATATGCCTTTCCATTCTGGGGTATGTGTTGTGCGACCGCATTTTCCAGCTCCAGAAGAGAGCTGTTCGATATTCACTGGGACTAAACAGCAGAACTCATAGCAAGGACTTTTTTAAAAAATTAAAAATATTAACTCTTCCTTCCTTATTTATATTTGAATCCATTTGCCTAATACACGTAAGCATGTATCAGCTTCTCAAGAAGGCCATCTCACACTTATCCACTCAGGAACGCGGAACAAGATCTCTATCTGCCTATCCCACGCTCAGAGTTAGTTAAAAGTTAAATATTATACAACTCGAAAAAAATGCACAATCACCTGCCATTTGAAATCAAATCCATAGCATCATTTTCTTCATTTCGCAAAGCATTGAAATCTTATTTACTAGACAAGGCTTTCTACTCCGTAAATGACTTATATTTTGATAATCGAATAAGATCTTGTAAACACTGGTCTAATATTTGCTATTACTATATTTACTATAAATATAGTAAATATTTTTGAATCTTATTTTTATTTTTTTATTCTTTGACATTGTAAATGTTTATTTTAAACAATAAGACTGACAATGTAATTTGTATACTTGTTTGGTATTCTCTTTTGTTTGTTTACTTTACCTTTGTCTACAAATTGTAAAATTTTTTGACAATAAAGGTATTTATATTTATTTCTTTGTTTCAGCGGACGCAAACGTAGATCCCAATCCAGACTCCTGGAAGCGCTGTTCAACCAATCAGAGGAGGACCAGGGTGACCCCAGAGGCGGCCTACTCAAGCTCTAGAACCCAACGACTACGAAACCTTCCTCCTCAACTACAAATAGACTGCTCCAAGCGCTCCAAAAGACGACACACAAACGAGAAAACGATAGCTTACCAACTTAAGGCTCTAAGTAATAATTTGACGATTCCTTTCCAAGATTATTTATTGTTCAACAATAAAATTATTGCCTGTAACATAATATACAGTAGAATTACCAAAGAATCAGGAAGAATGTTCGGGCTAAATCAATGGATGAGCAATAATTTTGTTGTGTGTACATAGTCGAAACTTGGTAAATCAACTGTAAAAACTTGGCAACTACAGTTATTAGAGATATTACAAGTATAAAGTTATGTCAAAATTAAGTTAAGATACTTATTAATTTTGAACAATTTTATGTAAATCTTGAAGAAAAAATGAAATCCACTTATAACGTTTATTTCTTGGTGTAGTTGAAAATCAATTTCGTTATACAGGATGTCTTTAAAATAAGTGCAAATATTTTAAGAGGTGGTAGAGGCAAAAAAAAACGAATTTTCTATTTATCATTTTTCAAATAAATTAAAATTACAGAGTTAATAAATAACGTCTATACATTTGGGGCAAATTCATCTCTTCAAAAAAAAAAGCGAAACGTTGAGTCGGCGTTTACATGTAACTATAGAAGTGAATCGCCATGGCAATCTAATAAGTCGGAGAGAGCAAAAATTCGAAGTATTTATTACATAATCATTTAATCTGACGCTAGATTCCATGTGCTTGAGAAAATACTTGTCTTCTGTCTTTATTCAGTACATCTTATTTTACTAAGCGTGTTGAACGTACTCTTCGTACACACGAAAATCGGCACCCAAGACCAGAAATGCCGACCCTAGTATAGGTACCACATAGGTGCCACATGCACTTTTAAATTACTTTCATTACTTTTTTTTTAATTACCAGTTATCAGCTGTTATTACTTATTGATTCCCCCTGTAGACATAAGAGCGAATTTGATGGCCATCATAAGAACATTTTTGAATGTGCACTCGTCGAAGCTCATAGTATCTTGATAATATGGCAACATATTATCAAGATACTATGTTTTTAAAGAAATATTAAAAAAATCAAAAAATAAATTCATAGATAAAAACTCATAGAAATATACCACCACTAAAAATATGCACTTATTAAAACTCACCCTGTATAATCAAAGTGTTCTATGATAAGAGCTTTGTTGGTAAATTTTAATTGTATTGAAGTACTCATTATTTATGTCTGACTGCCAACATCTACTTGTCTATATGGAATATGATTGTCTGTATTTTTATTTTGATATAATATAAGTTACCATTAATAACAAGCAACATTTGATTCCTATGTTATAGTTACTACTACTTATATTTAATACAAAAATATCTTCAAGTATTTAAATAAATCATTTGAACATTTTTTTATATTCTTGTAAAATATCTTTAAATTGTTTTTAAATGATTATAATATGTAATGATCAGTTTTGTTTTACAGAATCTATCAATCATATAAAATCTTATAGTGTCTATAATAACTTACTCTTTTTTTATCAAAATAAGATACCTTTACAGAGCGTAGTAAAATGAATAGTGCCATAAATGAAATATATCCATATACAAGTGACGTATAAAATCATAAAACTGAGACCATACATATACAGGGTGTTTCCAAAGTAGTCTAACAAATTTTAGAGTGTGATTCCTCGTGTGTTTTTAAGAAAAAAAACTGTGTATAACATGTATAAAAGTGTAGTATAATAAAAATATTTTTTTTAGAAAAAGATGCAGTGACGTAGGTACCATTTATATTAATCAAGAAATTAGATTTTTTCAAAGTTTTAACACCCTGTAGATCAGAAAGGAAGTACTTTAGATCCCAGATTTGTATAAACTTTTTTGTCTTAAAGACATATCGCAACCTATTTTTTTAGGCTACTTAGGAAACACAGTGTATATGTAAACTATGACAAAACTCTTAACGCATTGAATAGTATAAAAAATAACTGTAAATTTAATTTACTCTATTTCCAAAAATACATCAATGTAATGCTGTAATTACAAAGTAACTAGGTATATGTATAAATTGACTTTACGCAACGGTACTTAATTCTATTCATGTATTAATGAAACATATTTAAAAAGTATATAAGAAAAAATCTACTAGTAATATTAAGGATTAAAAATTTATGGTATGGTAGTGATTAATTATCTAAAGTAAGTTTTTGGAAACTAAAGCTCTTAGCATATTACAGCCAACGAATACAAAATGCACTTAAAAACGCACAATATAAAAAAAATAATTAAACACTATCATACCCATTTGTTAAATATTAAAAATAAACCAATTTATCTGTACATCTTTAAAATCTTTAAAGTTTTCCTCTTCAGTTCATAAACATTTTAATATTTTGGGTAAAAGTTAACTTAAAATGAAGCTATGTGAACTTTATTTATTTATTTTATTTGTGATTTTTTTTAATTTTAAGTTAAGATATAGTTCGTAATAACTTAACTTACCATGAAAACTTAACTGTCAATCAAGTACGTGTCATTACAAGACAATTTTTCCAAATATTATGATACTTGCGAGTCAATATCTGCTGACATTCTATACAAATCGCGAGAAAAAACCTCAAAAGAACATCAATCTGAAAATCGAATAAAAACGACGTCAAAGTAGGCGTTGAAAAATCATAAATCAATGAACTAGACGTCATGGTGATATAAAGGCAAATAATGCACTGCCAATTTAGTTCAAAAAATTCATCGCATCACAATACCTAATGTGTTCACGACACATCACATAATAATGCAACACAACACGAGCATTGGTATCTCTTTTGAAAACCAATTTTATTTTTTCCTGTCGTTACTTTATAGAAAATCAACTTTATTAGGGCTATCTGATACTATTTTTAGATTTTCAAATTAGCTGATAGTTTGACAGGGACCAAGTTATTTTTTTAAATACGGATCAGCATTTTTTATTTCGGAGTTTCAAAGAGCTCGGTCTCCTGAGTACAATGATATGCCACACTTTATACTTTTTTTTGTTTTGGGTACCTTAACAACAACAAGACTATTTATTTATTATTTAAAATAATTTAAAGTCCGACTCTGGCTCTTTTAAAATTATTTAATCTGATTATATTCATCGCAACAATGTTGAACAGCGCTAATTAACATTAAATCGGGCCAATTGAAAGATTCAGATAAATAATATCCAGGTCAGCAATTTAAAGATATTATTTTTAACTTTTTTTTATTGCGAATTTGAAATCTCAGTGCACTATCTAATAATATGCATAATATTAATTGTATTTATTATAAACCACCCTCCCTATTGCACAAATTTATTTCTCGTTCAATTTTATTTGGATAGCTCTTTGGACATATCTTCTTCTTATACCGTATGATCGAAAAAAAAACGGCGTCTAGTTGGCTGAGAAATGACGATCGATGGCATTTTAAAAATACTATCAGTCTTTATACTATACTATAAAGTCGCTATGAGAATGTGCAATTAGTTTTTTGATTTTCTAAAAAAACAAATCTAAAAAACTCAGCAATCAAATTTTTAAAACTTTTTTGATGGCATCTTGGTGAACATCCCAAAGCGCAATTTTGCCTCAATTTAACCATGTTCGTATCTATCACAGTTACCGAGATACCAATGCTGGTACCCCGAATTTGTAGCACCCTGTATATTATGTCAGCTAGATTCAAAAATTTTCATATTTTCCTAACTTTTATTTTAATTATTTTGTCTGTCATTTTTGTAGCTCTTATATTGAATCTTTCCAAAATAAC